GAGAAAGCCTGCAGCTGGCTGGCTGAGTGTTCAGCCCAAATCCACGCATCTGTTACTCAGGCCAGAAGGGGAGACACGGGTAGACAGGGAGAAGGCTCCGTCACCCGGACCACCAGTCACCTGGTGTTTTCTGGGGTCAACAAGGACATTGGTCTCCTCATTTGTTCCAGACTCTGTGAAGTCACAGGAGGACACAACCCAGACCACCCCTTTTCATGGAGCCCGGAGTCTAGATGGGAGCAAGGGGAGAGTAGAAGGTGTGATGGGATTGCAGAGGCAGGGGTCTGAGGTTCAAATGCAATCACTGAACGTGTCTTTGCAGTCACTGAAGTGTAGAATGGGAACCGATCTAGGCTAGTGGCTGCTGAGGGCCCTCCTGAGGCACAGAGCCTTCGAGCCGAGGCCTGTGGGGCTGGAGAGTCAGCAGAGGCAGGGGTGTGCTCCCCCAGCTGGAGCGGCCGGGCTCCGGGAGGGTCTCCGCAGTCTGTCACCTCTGCCGTTTCTCCTTCACCCCGCGCAGGGAGCCTGTCAGTCGTGCGGTGTTTCTGGGCCGAACCTGTGGGCCTGTCTCCAGGTAAGGGCTCCTGCGGCTGCCGGGGCGTGAGTGCCTTCTGGACGGGGCTGGGAACATCCGTCCCTTGGGCGGGGACACAGGGCATGGCTGTCTCAGGGGCGGGTCCCAAGCCAACAGGGCCCCAGACTCAGCGAGTCCCTGGCTGGCGGCCTTGGCAGCCGTTAAAAATGACAAGAGGGGCCCTAGCCGGTTTGGCTCAATGGATGGAGCATCAGCCTGTGGACCGAAGGGTCCCGGGTTCGATTCCAGTCAGGGGCACATACTCAGTTACAGGCTCCTCCCCGGCCGGGCCCTGGTCGGGGCACCCGCAGGAGGCAACCCATCGATGTGTTTCTCTCACATCGATGTTTCTCTCTGTCTTTCCCTCTCTTCCACTCTCTCTAACAATCAATGGAAAAATATCCTCGGGTGAGGATTAAAAAATGAAAATTAAGAAAAAAAATGACAAGAGGGAAAAGCAGGCGGGAGAAGATTCTGGACCAGACGGGCCTGTCTGCCTAGGAGGCAGGATTCTGTCCGCGCAGGTGCCCGTGAGCCTTGCGTGGGCATCTGGCTCGGGCCCTGGCACTTCAGTAGCAGCCCGTCGCATGCAGTGGGCCCACGTGGGGCGGGGGTAGAATTGGGGAGGCGATGCCTGTGACGGGCTTAGCCGGGTGTGTGGCTGTAGACAGTATCCAGTCAGACCTGGTCGTGTTTGATTATTACTGTTTATTAAAGAGACTAACAGTTTTCATTATGGAAAACAGTATGGAGTTTCCTCAAAAAATTAAATATGGATCTGCCATTTGACCCAGTGATCCCACTTCTAGGAATATATCCCAAGAAACCCCAAATGCCAGTCAGAAAGAATGTATGCACCCCTATGTTCATAGCAGCACAATTTACAATAGCTAAGATCTGGAAACAGCCCAAGTGCCCATCAGTGGATGAGTGGATAAAAAAGCTGTGGTACATTTATATCATGGAACACTGTGCAGCAGTAAAAAAGAAGGATCTCTTACCCTTTGGGACAGCATGGAGGGGCCTGGAGGGCATCATGCTAAGTGAGAAAAGTCAGCAGAGAAAGACAAGTATCACATGATCTCACTCGTATGTGGAATCTAACAAAATAAACTGATGAACGGACTGGATCCAGGGACATGGAAGCAGGGAGCAGAGTGGGAATCTCGGAGGGAAGTGGGGGGAGGTGGAGGGGAGGTAATCAACCAAAGACCTTGTATGCACATATGCATGGCCCATGCCACGGACAATAGGGTGGTGGAGGCCTGGAAAAGGCAGTGGGGGTGGGCTGGAGGGGGTCAATGGGGGAAAAAATCGGACATATGCAATACTTTCAACAATAAAGATTAAATTAAAAAACAAAAAAAGACAACAGTTTTCGGTGGGTGATAGAATTATGGGTACTTTTAATTTTTTCTCTAATTTTGTAATATTTTTCTAAATTTCTACACGTAGGTATTTTAAAATCATACTGAAAAGACTGTTCCTTAAAATGTCTTTAAAATACATACAAGTAGAAGAGAAAGGCAGCTTGAGGGGTGAGAACAGCTCAAGTCTTCCCAGAAGACAGGGTCCCCCCGGAACTGCAGCCTCGTCCTTAGGTCCTGACACTCCATAAAGCAGATTGTGGGGCCCGGTCCGGGCGCCAGGGGTGGGGGCAGCAGGAAGTGTGAGACACGGTCCTACCTCCTGGGAGCCCCAGGCCCCCAGAGAGAGAGGTTCAGAGCCGCATCAGGAAGCCACGCTCCCCTTGTGATGGAAAGGCCCTCCACAGCCTGTGCAGGGCTGACCCCGGGGGACGGGGCCGACCCCCGGCGCTCCCATTGGGAAGCTCCGTGGGGAAGCTCCGTGGCTGGAAGCAGCCCGCAGTGGTGGAGAGGCGCTTGGGCTGGGCCTCACTGGATGGATGGATTCGGGAGAGGAGAGGGCACAGCACAGGCAGGGTCATCAGGGCCATGCTGTTTGCCTTCGGGAACCTGGGCACAGTGGGCCCCACCGCTTCTGCCCATCCAGCGTCCCCTCCAGAAATGTGGATCCAGTAAACGGGCCCGTCAGGAATTCGATGGGACGGGGGCACGTGGAGGCAGAGAGGGTCTGCCCAGGACGAGCTGTGGCCCTGCTGGGGTTTTGGGGGAGAGCAGTAGCCCAGGCACCCTGCCCGCCTCACTCAGAGACAAGGCCGTTCTGGGGAGCTCGAGGGGGTACCCCGTGTTCCTGCATGCAGGGCCTCCCTGTTGGCGGAGGGGGGACACGCTGGTACACCCTCTTGGCCAGCCCCCACCCACGCTTCTCCCCTCTCCCAGGTGGCCTGCCCCTACGTTGGCTGCGGAGAATCCTTCGCCGACCACAGCACCATCCATGCGCAGGTGAGTGGCGGCCGGGGCAGGGGCTCTGGTCAGACGGCCCAGAGCTCAAAGCCCAGCCCCAGCCGCCTCCCAGCTCCACCTGCCCGCGCTGGGCCTCCGAGGCCGTGTCTGTAAAACGGAAACGATCATAGCAAAGACGCAGGAGCTGATGCGGAGCCCGCTCATGCTGGCTCGGGCAGCCCCGCATTCCCGCTGGAGGGTGCGCAGACCGGCTCCAGGCCGCGGTCCCCACAGGGCCTGTGCTGAGAGCTGAGAGCGAGGCGGCCCTGCAGGCCTGGCACCTCTCAGGCCAGTGCCTCCTGGGCCTGATTTTGGATCTTGCCTTCCAGGCACAAAAGCACAACCTGACCGTGAACCTGACCACCTTCCGGGTGTGGTGTTACGCCTGCGAGAAGGAGGTGTTCCCGGAGCAGCGGCTGGCGGCTCCCCTGCCGGCCGCCTCACCCCGACTCTTTGAGCAGGTGAGGGGTGCCGTGGGGTCCCGTTGGTAGGTTACACGTGTTGAGGGCGTGGCAGTGT